CTACTAGGAATATATCCTAAGAAACCTAAAACACCAATTAGAAAGAACTATTGCACCCCTATGTTCATAGCAGCGCAATTTACAATAGCCAAGATCCAGAGACATAGAAGCATGGAACAGGCTGCTGAATCTCAGAGGGAAGGCAGGGAGGGGTGTGTGGGTAGGGAGAGATTAATCAAAGAACTTATATGTTCATAAGCATAACCCATGGACAGAGACATTGGTCTGGGGAAGGCCTGGGGGTGGGGTGGATGCAGGGGATCAATGAGGGGTAAAAAGTATGCCCTCATCTACACCACTCTTAAGCCCCTGGTAACCACATTTCTACTCTCTGTTGCTATGAGGGTTTTTTTTCCCATTAGATTCGTATGCAAGAGCATACAACATTTTACTTTCACTGTCTGACAAATCTCACTGAGCATAATGTCCTCTAGGTTCATTGGTGTTGTTGCAAAAGGCAGTATGTCCTTTTTTTCTATGGCTAAGTAATATCCCACTGTATATATATCTACATGTTCTATGTAGAGTCATGCAGTAATAGATAGTAATAGACAGTTGTTTCTGGTTGTTTTCTAGTTCCTGGTTGTTTTTTTCTCTCTCTTGCTGTCATTCTTTGTGAATTAATGATTATTCATAATGCTATGTACTGATTCCCTTCTCTTTATCTTTTGTGTGTCTACTGTAAGTTTTTAATTGGTTATTGCTATGATGCTTACATAAAACATCTAACAGTTTTAAGTCTATTTTAATCTGATAACAACATAACTCAATCACACACAAAACTCTATCGTTTTACTACCCCCACACACTTTCTGCTTTGATGGCCTGATTTACATCTTTTTACATTGTGTACCCATTAGCAAAATTTGTAGCTATAATTATTTTAATATATTTGCCTGTTAATCTTTCATTCTTGGATTTTTTTTTTGTTTCTTTCAGCACATTGTATATATCATCCCAGGTCCTTCTAGCCTGCAAGGTTTCTGCTGAGAAACCTGGTGGTAATTTTTTAATGTTTTTTAATTTTTTCAATCACAGTTGACCCTCAATATTATTTTGTATTAGTTTCACGTGTACAGCATAGTTAGACAACTATATAATTTACAAAGTGATCCCGCCGATATTTCCAGTACCCACCTGACACCAGGCAGCTATCACAATATTATTGGCTATATATCCTATGCTGTACTTTATATCTCCATATGGCATATATACATAGGAAATATAGTCTGCTGATAATTTAATAGGAACTCACTTGTGTGTGATGACTTGTTCTTGTCTTGCTGCTTTGAAGACTGTCTTTGTATCTGTGACTTTTGACAGTTTGATTAAATGTGTCTTGGTGTAGGTCTCTTTATATTTTTCCTTGTTGAAGTTTTCTTAGCTTCTCAAATTTTACATCCATTTGTCCTCGGCTTTGGAAAGTTTTAGACTATTAGTTCTTCATATAGGATCTCTGTCCCTTTGTCTCTTTCTTCTCTTTATGCATATATTGGTCCTTCCACCAATGTCCCCTCACTCTGTTCCCCTCCTTCATTCTTTCTTTTTTTCCTCTGCCTCAATTATTTTGAAGTCCTTCTTCAAGCACACAAATTCTTCTAATTAAGTTTACTATTGTACCCCTCTTGTGAAGTTTTTAGTTCTGTAATTATATTCTTCAGTTCCTGAATTCCATTTTCTTCTTCATAATTTCTAACTCTGTTGATATTCTTTTACTTCATGCATATTTTTCTGATTTTGTTTAGTTGTCCACCTGTGCTCTCTTTGAATTCATCAAGCATACTTATGACAATTATGTTGAATTATTTGCCTGGTGATTTATATATCTGTTTCTTTAGGGTTGGTTTCAGTTTATTTAATCAGTTCCTTTGATTAGGCCACGCTTCCCTGTTCCTTTGTGTATGTTATCATGTTCTGCTGGGACTTTGACATTTGAAAAATCAGCTACCTCTCCCAGCCTTTGTGGTCTGATTTGGTACAGGAAACAATTTCTCCAGTCACCCAACTAGAGATTCAGGAGACCTCTAAAACTTTTTTTGGTAATGTGTTGTGCTTGGCTTCTGTGTGTAACATAATTGATTTGCCAGTTTCCACTCATGTGCGCCCTCTGGTGTCTATTTGCGCTACTGCAGCCTCTCTGGTTGTGCACTAAGCCATGGTTCTGGAGCTCCGTCTAGTGTCTGTTTATGGTACTGCAGACTCTGGTGCATCTGGATCGTTGTTCTCAGAGGCTCCCAACCTGGTGCCTAATTGTTGTCAGAGCTCAGATTAAGGCAAGACAAAAACCAGACTCTCAGACAGTCGCCCCATTAGTCAGAAGGTTGGATGTATAGTCTACTCTTAACCTTTTTCCCCCCAGGGAGAAGTAGGGAGTTGAGGGTTTTCTCTGACCATGCCTACTAGGCTGGGAAGAAGGGCTCTAGTGAGTGAATGCTAGAAGTATTTTTTCTAACAGGGTTTGATTCAGTTAACCTCATGCTCACTTGGGGTGCAGGAACGGCTTCATTGGTTTCTTGACTTCTTAAAAAGGCAGTTTTTCTGTATATTGTTAAGTTGGTGTTTCTGTGGGGGCAGGTGGTTCTGGGGCTTCCTATTCTGACATCTTGCAGATGACACTCTCCATGAGTCAAGTACTACTCTTTTTTTAAAATAGTTTTATTGATTTATAATTCATATACCATACTATTAACCCATTTAAAGTGTACGACTCAATGGTTTTTAATATATTCACAGATATGTGCAACTGTTATCGGAGAATTGTGTGGACTGCCCTTCTCCGTTGCTACTGGGAGTGGGGTTCTTGGGGTATCCCTGGAATAAGCATTTCTGGAGGCCCCCACAGGAGGATGAGATGTGGTAGGGAGCTTTATTTGCATGGAATTATATCCCTTGGTTTATAAAGTCCCATTTCCCTTAAACCTGTCCTGGAAAAGGTATCTGGCAATCTAGCAGAGCTAAAAGCAAAGCCAGGGTCCAGAGTTACAGCGTCAGACTAGTTGCAGTCCATTAGGCTATTGTGTGTGGGGTCCACATGGCTGTGGGCCATGTGGGTGAGTACGGAGCGTGAGAGCGCCACCAGCCAGGAGTCAGGCTCAAGCAGCAAGAGCACAAGCAAGGGTAAGAGCAAAAAAGGAGAACTACTTCTGTTCAGGAGCTTATGTATCTCAGATTTCGTGCCCTTGCAGTGGCCCCACCTATTCTGGCCAATGACCTGCTCCCAGGTGTGACTGACAGGAAGGCATCCTCTTTACATCATTTACACTTTACTGGGCATGCGTCTATTCTTTCTTTGTCCAGTGCCTTCCCCGAGGATCTGCGGGGAACAGACCTGGAGAGCGTTAAACTGCAGCTTTCTGGCAAAGCTGTACAAATGGCACACCTATATTATATGGCCTTCCCTTTGCTCCTTTCTTGTTAATTGGCAATGGGTTAATTACAATGGTATCACAACCTCCACCACAGTCAATTTTAGAACATTTTCATCAGCTCAAAAAGAAACCCTGTATAGTTCAGCTGTCACTCCCCCTAACTCCCATCCTCCCAATCCTTAAGAAAACACTAATCTACTTTCTATCTCTATAGATTTCCTTTTCTGGACATTTCATATATATGGAATCATATAATACATTGTCTTTGAAAACTGGCTTGTTTTGCTTAGCATAATGTTTTCAAGCTTCATCCATGCTGTGGATAAAAAGGGACCACATACTAAACCCGACAAGCTCAGGGAAGGCCTGCATGGTGGCTTTACAAACTCAGAGGCCTAAAGTAACCACATAGGATGGTCTGAAATTAAAACTTTTTAACTAAAAGCAGTTTATGGCATGTAGTCATATCTTAGGCTAGAATCTTCCCTGACAAACATCAATTTTCACCTTAATTGAGCCTGTCTATTGTCTTTTTGCATCTACAATAACATATCTTTGGAATGTCAAAGTAATTTCCTTTTTCTAGACCCCTCAAAGCACAGAGCAGAAACCACAAATCCCCTCATTGGTATGATGTTAATTGATGACTTTTAACTATGCTTTACCCACCTATGTAAAAGAAGTATGTGCCTATCATTTTACTTTTTATCAGATCCCAGAGGTTTCCCTACTTTGCTTTCTCCTGCCCCCTAATCTATCAGCAATGGGTTTCATGTAACCCATTTACATCTTCTCTTTTGATTGTAATGTATAAAATAAGATGCAAAACTGCTATTCTCTGGAGCATTATTTCAATCTGTTGAGATTTTTGCTTCCCAGCAATTGTTGACAGTTTGGCTCAAATAAACTCACAAAAATTCTCTACAGGTTTGAATGTTTCTTATGTTAACAATGCTATCGCAGGTATCAGTACAGGCATACCAAATTCACCGCTGTTCCCAACCGAAGCAGGATTAGCAAATTGATTATACTGGCCCCCATCCCTGCAAGTGACAGTTGTAAATATGCCTTGGTTTGTGGGGACACTGTGTCTGGTTTAACCCAAGCTTTGCCCTGTAGTCACCCAACCAGGCTGCCACCATTAGGGGATCAGAGAAGCTGAGTACCACACACGGTTACTCTTGTCAACTAGACAGTGATGGGGGGTGGTATCTTATATCCAAGGTCATGATATGAAAGACTGGGTAAAAGAATATGACACTGAATGAAGGTCCCATCTCTCCTATAACCCACAAGCAGCAGGGTTGGTAGAAAGGGAGAACGGACTATTAAAGCAGCAGATTACATTACGAACAAGTAAAACATTACAAAAGTACCACCCCAAGCTTTAATATATTTGAATAATCACCCAGTAGGTCCTGTTGCTCCATATGCCAGGTTGGGGACCCCAGCGGAGACACCCAACACCATGAAGGTATATAAAGGTATGGAAGTTGCGAGACAGCCACTGCTCCAACTCTCACTGTACATGAATCTGCCACGCTGCTGAGAACACCAAGTCCCATCATGCCCGGGAAAGGCATTACTGACTGTAATTTGCATTAGGATGTCCCACCAGGATGGATGACTTACTTCACAGCCCTGGGCGAGGGCGAACTACTCAATCACCACTGGGATCCCACTGTCTTGCTGCAAGCTGGACTTAGTAGATCGCACTGTACCTGGAATGAAACATACACCATTAAAAGAGGGAAGAAAGCTGGGGCTCCTGATCTGGCACATCCCATCCATCCCCAGTCTCTCTCCTCACTCCTGATACGCTGCCTCCCCTGGGCAGCATATGTGGTGTGCACAATCATGTCAAGTTCCTAAAGCTGTAGCCACATTAACGTCTAAGAATCAGGCCACACGTGTAAATTTTATAGAAGGGGAAGACCCCACACAAGTTTCTACTAAATATCTGTCTTTTTGACCTTAGACTTCTGCTGCTCCGGTGGTTTCTGGTAATGTGGTAGGCACATTCTGTTTTCCACTGGTATGATCATTTGGCTGCTGGAGGTTGTCCCATGTGCACTTGAGAAGAATGTCTGTTCTGTTGTTGTTTGGAGGAATGTTCTGTGTATATGCCTATTAGGTCTTACTAATTTACTGTGTTGTTCTCTAGTTCCTTATTGATCTTTTACCTTATTGTTCTATCCACTGTTGAAAAACGGGTATTGAAGTCTCCAACTACCATTGTAAAACTGTCATTTTCTGCCATTAATTCTGTCAATTTCTGCTTCATATATTTTGAGGACCTGTAATTAGATATGCAAATGTTTATAATTCTTATATTTTATTGCTATATTGAAACTTTTATTAACATACAGTTCCCTTATTTAACCATTTTTACTTAAAATCTATTTTTCCTGATATTAGTATAGGAACCCGAGCTCTCTTTTAGTTATTACTACCATGTGATATCTTTTTCCATCCTTTAACTTTCAACCCATTTGTGTCCAAAGTGAGTATCTTCCCAGAAATAAACCCACACCTATATGGTCAATTAATATATGGCAAAGGGGGTGAGAGCATACAATGGGGTAAAGACAGTCTGTTCAATAAATGGTGTTGAGAAAATTGGACAAATACATGCAAAAAAAAAAAAAATGAAACTAGACCACCTTCTTACACCATGCACAAGAATAAACTCGAAATGGATTAAAGATTTAAATTTAAGACTCGAATCATAAAATTCCTAGAAGAGAACAAAGGCAGTAAACTCTCAGACATTTCTCTTAGTAATGTTTTTTTCTGACATATCTCCTTAGGCAAGGGAAGCAAAAGAAAAAATAAACAAATAGGATTGCATCAAACTTAAAAGATTTTGCACAGCAAAGGAAACCATCAACAAAACGAAAAGACAACCTACTGAATAGGGGAACATATTCGTCAATGATACATCTGATAAGGGGTTAATACCCAAAATTTATAAAGAACTCAGACAAGTCAACAGCAAAAAAACAAACAATCCAATTTAAAAAATGAGCAGAGGACCTGAATAGACACTTCTCCAAAGAGGACGTACAGGTGGCCAACCGATATATGAAAAGATGCTCAATGTCACTAATCATCAGAGAGATGCAAATTAAAACCACAATGAGATATCACCTCACACCTCTCAGAAAGGCTGCCATTAACAAATCAACAAACAAGTGTTGGCAAGGGTGTGGAGAAAAGGGAATCCTCGTGCACTGCTGGTGGGAATGCAGACTGGTGCAGCCACTGTGGAAAACAGTATGTAAGTTGCTCAAAAAATGAAAAAATGGGACTACCTTTAGACTCAGCAATTCCACTTCTGGATATGTATCTGAAGAAACCCAAAACACTGATTCAAAAGGATACATGCACCCCTATGTTCACTGCAATGTTATTTACAATAGCCAAGATAGGGACACAACTCAAGTGTCCATCAACAGGTAAGTAGATAAAAAATAGTGCTACATATATATACAATGAAATATTACTGGGCCATTAAAAAGAATGAAATCTTACCATTTGTGACAGCATCGACAGTCCTGCAGGGTATTGTGCTAAGTGAAGTAAGTCCGACAGAGAAAAATACCGTATGATTTCACTTACACGTGGAATTTAAAGAACAAAATAAACGAACAAACAAAACAGAATCAGACTCACAGACACAGAGAACAGACTGATGGTTGCCAGAGGGGAGAGGGGTTGGGAGAATGGGTGGAAAAGGTGAAGGGATTAACAAGTACTAATTGGTAGTTACAGAATAGTCACAAGGATGTAAAACACAACATAGAGAATATAGTCAACAATATTGTAACAACTATGTATGGTGCCAAGTGGGTACTTGAAATATCAAGGCCATCACTTTGTAAAGTATATGACTGTCTAAGCACTATGGTGTACACCTGAAATTAATACTGAATGTCAACTGTAATTGAAAAACAAAATTAAACTAAATAAATAAGAAAACTCTCAAAATATGATTAGCATATCTTCAACTTTTAAAAAGCTGTAGTGTGGCCCTAGCCAGTTTGTTCAGTGGTTAGAATGTTGGCCCGCGGACTGAAAGGTCCTGGGTTTGATTCCGGCCAAGGGCATGTACCTCGGTTGCAGGCTCGATCCTGGGCCCTGGTCGGGGCTTGTGCAGGAGGCAACCAATCGATGTGTCTCCCTCACATCGATTTTTCTCTCTCTTTCTCTCCCTTCCACTCTGTCTGAAAAGCAATGGAAAAAATATCCTTGGGTGAGGATTAAAAAAACCCAAAAAACTGTAATGAATAATATGGTAAGTTTGCGTTTACATAAATTTTTAACTGGCATGTGAAAATATTAGCAAAATCACAGGTCATATATGCTCAAAGTTAAGGAATGATCTGAGATCCATCAATGAATGCAAAAAATCTGCATATTTTGGGTACCTGAAATAAACTTCTACATCAATAACCAATGTTTGGGCATCTGACTTATCTGTTTAGTTACTGAGGTCACATTTCTGAACACAAAAATGGATGGCCTAAATTGACTTTTTTTAAAATCTTAAATTAAGTGAGAGGGGGGGAAAAAAGGATGGAATATTTTGTCTTTAACATGCCAAACACTTGTTTGATTGAATTTTTCACACTGCAAACAAATGTTTTTAACTCATTTCAACAAACTTCACCTTAATGACAGAGAAATCATGACATTTAAATGTCACAAATATTTGCTATAGAGGTCTTCGTTTTCCAAGTTAGATCAAAATGCTAAAAAAAAAGGCACTACATGTTAATGGTGGGTCTCTGTGAGTGTAAAGCAATGAGTAATGTTTCTTCTCCTGTATACTTTGTACTGTTCAAATCTCCTATAATACACATTAATTCTTGTTATAGTAAACTGTAAAATGAAACAAATTCCAGCTAAAAAATAAAGTGAGCATCTTGTAGACAATATGCAGTAAATCATGGGTTTTTTAAAAAATCCATTCAGCCAATCTTTTTCTTTTGATTGGAGAATTTAATTCATTTATAATTAAATTACTGATAAGAAGGGATTTTTGCCTTTTTGCTATGAGTCAGTTGTTTTGTTCTCATTTCCTCCATTACTGCTTTCTTTTATGTTTAGTTGATTTTTTTAATTAAGAGTTTATTTTTTATAGAGCAGTTTTAGTTCACAGCAATATTGATGGGAGGTATAGAGATTTCCCATATATCCCCTAGTCCCATATGTGTATATGTGCATAGCCTCCCCCATTTTCATCATCCTCCAACACAGCAGTACCTTTGTTACAATTGGTGAACCTATATGGATACATCATAATCAAACAAAGTCCATAGTTTACATTACAGTTCGCTCTTGGTGCTGTACGTTCTATGGGTTTAGACAAATGTATAGTGACATGTATCCATTATTATGGTATCATGCAGAATAACTTCACCCCCTAAAAATCTTCTGTGCTGTCTAATCATCCCTCCTCAACCCATGGAAACCACTGATCATTTTTACTGTCTCCACATAAGACCCCAAATAAACAAAACAATCCTGAGAAAGAAGAACAAAGCTGGAGGCATCAAACTTCCTGATTTCAAACTATAGTACAAAGCTATAGTAATCAAAACAGTGGTACTAGCATAAAAATAGACACAAAGACCTATGGAACAATATCAAGAGCACAGAAATAAACCTCACATATATGGTCAACTAATATTTAACAAGGGAACCAAGAATACTCACTGGGGAAAAGATAGTTTCTTCAATAAATGGTGCTGGGAAAACTGGATAATCACATGCAAAAGAATAAAATTGCACCCCTATCTTATCCCATAGACAAAAATTAAAACTAAAATGTATTAAAGAGTTAAATGTACATTTGAAACCTTAAAACTCCTAGAAGAAAACATAGCAGGAAGGCTCCTTGAAATTAGTCTTGGCAATGATCTTTTTTGGCAATAATTTTTTGCTATGCCATCAACAGCACAAGCAGTAAAAGCAAAAATAATCAAATGGGACTACACCAAACTAAAAAGCTTGTACACAGTAATAGAAACAATCAATGAAATGAAACGACAACCTACTGGATGATAGAAAATATATGCAAACCACCTATCCGATAAGAGATTAATTTTCAAAATATATAAGAAACTCATACAACTCAATAGCAAAATTGCTGAGAGTACATCTTAAAAGTTCTCATCACAAGAAAAACATTTTTAACTGTGTGTGGTGATGGATGTTAATTAGACTTATTGTGGTGATCATTTCATAACGTATGTAAATCAAATCATTTTGTTGTACACCTGAAATTAATTTATATGTTAATTATATATTAAATAGATAAATAAAGTACAAAATTTGAAGGAAAAAAGACAGAAATCTTGCTATTTGAGACAATACAGATGGATCCTAAGGGCATTATGCTAAGTAAAATAAGTCAGAGAAAGACAAATACTATGTGACCTTACTTATATGTGGAGTCTAAAACAAACAAAAAGCTGAACTCAGAGAACAGATTGGTGTTTGCCAGATGTGGGGGTGGAGAGTGGGCAAAATGGGTGAAGGTGGTCAAAAGATACAAACATCCAGTTATAAAATAAGTCTTAGGGATGTAATGTACAGCATGGTTACTATAGTTAATAATACTGTATTGTACAGTTAAAAGTCGCTGAGATAATGATCTTAAAAATTCTCATCACAAGAAAAAAAGTATAACCATGTGTGATGATGAATGCTAATTAGGCTTACTGTGGTGATCATTTTGCAATATGTACAAATATCAAATCATTATATTGTACACCTGAAACTAGTATGTTATATGTCACTTACATCTCAAAAAAAATATTTGCAAAAGACACATCTAATAAGGGACTGTTATCCAAAATATAAAGTATTAAAAATAAACATTAAAACAACCCAACTAAAAAATGGACCAAAAACCTTACCACACAGTTTACCAAAGAAGATATGCAGATGGAAGTAAACATATGAAAGGAAAATCCACATCATGTCTTCAGGAAATTGCAAATTAAAACAAGGAGCTATCACTACACACCTATTAGAATGGCCAAAATTCAGAACACAGACAACACTAAATGCTGACAAGAATGTGGAATGACAGGAACTCTTTCATTCATTGCTAGTGGGAACACAAAATGGTGCAGCCACTTTGAAAGACAGTTTGCTGGTTTATTAAAAAACTGAACTTATTGTTACCATACAATCCAGCAATCACACTCCTTGGTATTTACCTAAAGGAGATGAAAACTTATGTCCACACAAAAACCTGGACACAAGCATTTATAGCAGTTTTATTAATAATTTCCAAAACTTGGAAGCAACCAAGATGTCCTTCAGCAAGTGAATGGACAAAAAAACTGTAGTACTCAATGCTACAAAGAAATAATCTATCAAAAGCTTTGAAAAGATAAGGAGGAACTTTAAATGCTTATTACAAAGTGAAAGCAGCCAATCTGAAAAGGCTACATACTGTATGATTCTAGCCAAATGACACTCTGGAAAAGGCAAAACTATGGAGACAGTAAAAAAATAAAAAATCAGTGGTAGCCTGGGATTGTGAAGGAGAAGGGGAATGAGCACAAAGGATTTTTAGGGCAGTGCCCTGTATGATACTACAATGATGGATACGTGTCATTATACATTTGTCCAAGTCCATAGACTGTACACTAAGAGTGAACCTTAAAGTAAACTATGAACTTTGGGTGATCATGTATCAACATAGGTTCATCAATTGTAACAAAAGTACTACTCTGGTGGAGAATGTTGAACATGGGGGAGGCTATGAGCATGTAGAAGCAGGGGACATATGGGAAATCTCTGTACCTTTCTCTCAAATTTGCTGTGAACCTACAACTACTCTAAAACAATAGTCTTCAAAAAGAGAAGACAACTCACAAAATAGAAGAAAATATTTGCAAACCATATACCTGAAAAGGGTATAATATCTAGAATATATAAAGAGCTCTTACAATTCAATGACAAAATGACAAACGGCCCAATTCAAAAATAGACAAAAGACTTAAGTAGTCATTTTCCAAAGAAGTTATACAAATGACCAACGAGCATATGAAAAGATGTTCAACAGCATTATTAGAGAAATGCAAAATAAAACCACAAGGAGATACCACTTTATATTCATTATGCTGGACCATAATCAAGAAAACAGAAACTAACAAATGTTGGTGAAGACATGGAGAAATTGGAACCTTTGTATATTGATGGTAGGACTGTAAAATGGTGCAGCCACTATGTAAAGTTTGGCACTTTCTCAAAAAGTTAAACATAGAATTACCATATGACCCAGCAATTCCACTCCTAGGTACAGGACCAAAAGAATTGAAAACAGGTGTTCTAAAATGACCAAAAATGACTGATAATTGCATGCCTCTGAGGTTATACTAAATACCATCCAACTGTTCACTTTAAATGTGTGATTGTATATTATATGAATAATATCTCAATATAGCTGCTGCTACACACACACACACACACACACACACACACACACACAGGAATGAAGCACTAATATGCTATAACATAAATGAACCTTGAAAACATTATGCTAAATAAAAGCAGCCAGTCACAAAAGACCACATATTATATGCTTCCAGTTACAATATATGAAATATCCAGAATAGGCAAATATATAGGGACAAAATATACATCAGTGGTTGTCCGGGGGTTGAGGGAATGGAGGATTAGGGTGGTTATAGCTAAAACTTACAGGGTTTCTTTTTGAGGTAATGAAAATATTCTAAAAGTGATTGTGGTGATGGTTCCACAACTCTGTGTATACTAAAAGCCATTGAATTATATACTTTAAATGTAAATTATAGCACAATAAAGCTATTTTCTCCAAAATTTAAAACAGTTCACTAGATGGCAAGGGCAATAACTATGGAAGCTCACTGACACCCGGAACCCTTGTGCCCCAGGACTTACCTGCTCTAATCAGCTAGAGAGGACAGGGGCGACAGATCAGATCCATGACCATGTGATCCACATGGGCAGCATAGGATCTTACTGGCTGAATATGCATGATCTGTGTACTCCATGGTTTACTGTGCACTTGCTGATGAAGAACGGCAATGCGAGTTTCTACAGACTGAGCCCACCTCTGCCACTCTGGCTTTCCCTCACAGAAACCCTGGCAGCTTTATATTTCCAGTGGCCCCTGATAATTTGCTGAGGATAGTAAGAGTGCTTCTTCTCTATTTTCCTGCTTCCAAGATGCTGAAGATTCTTCCTCAGGAAAGATTCTAGTGTCCTGATGTAACATATGGCAGGAAGTGAACAGCTCTCTTCAGAATGAAGGACCAGCTCCAGAATTACACTGTCAGAGATGTGCAAGAGTTTTAGCTATAAGAGGTGTAAAGAAAATGAAATGAGGGACAACAGTACTATTAAATGGGACATAGCCATAGCACAGCAGGAGGGAAAATTCTTATGTAGATTTTCCCAATTCTCTTTTCCAGTTGTGTATTTTGAAAAGAAAGAATTCTTCACTTTATTCTGTAGGATATGAGGATGACTCATCTTTCATGAATCCTCACTCCAACTTCACATTTCTCCCATTGTTTTTTCTCCAATTTATTTTGGAGCAGGCAATCCACATCTTTAAATGGCATTCCGATTCTAAAGTCCCATGGTTTTATTTCAACCACTTTATTATCTTTCTGTACTTGTTCCAGACCTTGGCTGCTTATCTAGTCCCCTCCTCGACCCAATTATGTGCAATTAACTTTCTACATGGTATCATGCAAACTCTCTGAGTAAAATCATTCAATGAGAGCGGTACTTTGTATAGTAAGGTGAGGAAGGCAAGCAATACAGTTGGTCATGTTTTGTTTTTGGAGAAATGGCTACTTTCTGAAAGTCACTGCCTGGTAGTATATGTGGAAAGTCATCCTGAGTTGGCAAAAGATATATTTCCCCTGCACTCACCTTCCTGTTATCCTCAAAGTATATTTGGCACCCATCTGCTGCTCCATTTATATCTAGATTTTTGTCTTGGAGCAGCTACATCCAATCACAGGCATGGATGAAGGCCGCACCAGGATGAACTAGAAATAACAAGCCCTGGCCGGTGTGGCTCAGTGTTAGAGCGGTAGGGTTACAGGTTTGCTCCCTGCCCCCCCCCCCC